TATATATATATATATATATATAAAAACACCTTCATACACAGGTTACTTCAACACACGGATTTAATACAGAAAGAATGGAAAGGCGGATTCAGTTCGGTGTGATGTTTTCGTTAAAACACACAGCGAGTTAGTTCATTCCAGATGAACACACAAAAGAGAATTGACAACTTCGTAGTCTTAAACACCAAACGAATGCTTTGAAAATGCTGAGAAATAAAAATATGAAGAACGCGACATTCAAAGCGTACGAGCGCGAGAAACGAGAGTACGTCCTACACACGCTGTTTCGTTTATGTTTCGACGACTGAAGAGGTCTACTCAACTTGCTAAGGTATTATTAATAGTCTCGCTAATAATTCACTTAGCTTCTACTGACTACCCCTAACTAAACGACAAATCGAATGTCCAAGAAGAATCAGCTCGAGTTCTACGCCGAAAAAACTGCTCGAGTTCGTGTAAAAAAATGAGCAAAAGGAAAATTGCAGACAACAAGGATTCTAAAAAACAAAAATTCTGCCCAAGTTCGAAGCCGTAAAAAACGGACCTACAAAAAGCGAAGCTAAATAATCAAGAGGTCGAAAGACTCCGCTTGGGTTCAAAATAAAAAACCCAGATACAGAAGAGTCGTGACGGCCAAACCCTTACAATCCTCTCCTGAAAAGGCTAACCCAAAAACGAAATAGGCAAAGGAAAAGAAAGGCCGAGCAACACTCCTGAGGGCAATACAACAGCCACTTCATAGTGTCAGACACATCATTTGTCCCAATCCACGGTCCTAATGTCAAAGGTTACTTGTCGTGCTATCAGCATCCAGTCATGGGCACTTAGTCTGACAAAGCGGCACAGAGTCTTCTCAAAGAGGTCAGGGGGGAAGGACTGCTTCCTCAGTTCGCGATTCAGCGAGAGCAGCCCTTCTACCGCCCTGTCCAAATGCGTAGTACATTCCCTCATCTTATGCAACATTCCATTAATCAGGGTACRMTTCTGCTTCGTACAGGTGTATGAGTGAAAATCTTGAAAGCACTTGTACCTCAGTTTCGGACCGTYTTCCCAAATTTATGAGAAGTTTTTTGCTCGGTACCAACTTGACACGGTACCATCATCGATTCTAACTCTGCATCCCAAGAAGCCCCACTCATTCAGCCCATCATCAGTTATTTTCAAGATGAGTTTGGGGTCATACGATCTTTCAAATCTCTCGATGATGCTACATRCCTTATCCTTCTTCTTTTTCTCCCAACTTCGCCACACAAACAGYGACACATCATCTACCAGCCTAATCCCTTTCACCAAACCCACATCCCTKCCTAGACTTTCCAAAARTTGACTCTTATAGAAGGCACAGAGGATGCACGCGATAGGAGGACTGCTCGATTTTCCCATCGGTATGCCCTCCTTCTGCCTCACAAGCCGGTCAGAAGCCCACAAAAATGTGTTATCCAAGTCAAARTTCAYCATCTCTTTAATTAAACCGAAGTTTACACTCACYCATCCATCCTCACCTTTCTTACTTCCAAACGAAGCCCCCTTTCCCCTCGACTTMACCATTAYGAACTTCCTTCCCTTCTGCGAAAATTTCCCCAAAATCCAATCAATAGCCATCCTAATGGATTCATGGGGCARCTTACTGAACATCTCTTTSATGTCATAAGCTAAGCCTTGGAGTTCACCATTCTTCTTCTTAGATGCCCATCTATTCACGTCTTCTAACCTTGACTTCAACAGACTTGTCGATTTCAGGTTGAAATAGCTGCTCGTCGGCAGCGAAAACTGCAGCAGATTGAGAGCTTTTGCTACCCTYTGATTTGCCACTTTTGCAGGTTCACTGACGAAGGTGAAATKGGCTGAAATTTTGAGATGTCTTTATGCTTTGGGAGGACATAGGATGACCTCATATCAAAATTAATCCATATTTCCTTTAGAGGCTACTAGCCAGCCTC